TGACAACAAAGATAGCTGCTTTGCAGCAAGTATTTAAGAAATGAAGATTTATTTTAGATGATGAAGTAGCATTGTGTATATATCAAGCATGCATTTAAAACACGCAGAGTGGGTACATGATTCAGAAAATGGATGAATGAAGAGAAGAGAGGCGAACGGAAATCTAGAGACGGGGGAAGGGCAACAGAGGGATGAGCTACAAATGAGAGCGATGGCGGTGGCAGGTTGGCACAGTGCCATCCAGTCAGGACTTGAGCGGGGGCGGGCATGGGCATGGGAGTAGGGGCGAAGAGAATAAGAATGGAAGAGAAACAGACCTCCATGCTACTACCATGGTGCCACCCTGGCACGGGCACAATGGGGCGAAACTAACGGAGCGGGCTAAGGAAGACGATATAGACAATACCAGAGGAAAGCAGCTATGTGTCGAGGAGCGCAAGATTCCAGCAGACAGAGGATGACTCGGATGTAAATGGATGAAGAGAAGCATAGAAGAATGTTGAACAGCAAAATGGATGATTTTACGAAATCGTAAGGTGTAACTCCGTAATGATCAACGAGGTAGACAATTTTGCGTTCCATCTTTTCCCGACTTTTTTTCTCTCTATGCCAGCACCTGCACACCAGCCAGCGGGCACGGTGCCAGCCTGCAGCTGGGTCATACCCGAAGCAATCCAAGTGCTCGGCGGAGAACTGTTGTAGTCAAAGACAAGGAGACTCACCACTGAGGATTTGCCGCTAATCGCTGTTTGTTTGCTTGGACAAAGCCAAAATGAGGTGCCAAGGCAACGGTTGCCAGCGATTCTGTGTTGGCATCTTTTCAGGGGTGGCGAGGGCACAGGAAGAAAGATGGCACGCTGCCAAGCAAACATAACGCAAATTTGCAAACAGAATCCTCCATATGATGAGCAGAAGATACCTTAAATGTTTTGGCGATGTCAACCCCTCCAGGGAGATACCAGAAACGGAGATGGCACCATGCCAAACACAAACAAGGAGGCATATGCGAGCGCCAGCGTAAGCTGTACAGAAGCGCAGTTAATGCGGACACAAAAAAAAATAAGAGAAAGGTTGGAATCAGAAATGCAACTGCGTTAGGAGTTTGACATAAAACCAATTTCTTAATACAAACCGCAGTGCTAACTGCTCCACTGGATGGAAACTGCTGCCATTAAAAAAAATAGAGAAGGGGTCGTACCATTCCTTGAAAAGAAGGGAAAGGAGGAATGAGCTAAATGAATGAGGATAAAGAAAAGAAGAAAAAAGGAGCAATTTTGTGCTTAACGAAGAACAGTGGGAGTGGGTGGACAAGGATGATGAAGAGCCTCTTTCCTGCACATGCACACCTGGGATGCTCTTAAAGGGATATCCCCTCAAACAGAGGGATGTGTTGTGTTGGCATCATCGCTGGGGTGTCAAGCCGTGTTTCTCTATTGCAAGTCAAGGAGGGTGTTGCAGTCGTCAGGGGCGGGCAACTGTCTGGGCATCTCATCTGCAGCTAATTAACAGCCACACACTAATTCTAACAGCCTATCATAATTAGCGATTTAATCGCTCGTCAACGCTTTTCTCCCCCCTTAAATTGTGCCTCCTATTTGGACACGTGCGGATAAGCTAAGGAACGCTGGATCTCCCTCCCCTCCTCCTCATCCTTCTTTCCTTCATCCTTGGCTCCAGACTCCAGTGGGATCTTAATTAAGCCCGGGCTTCATTATGCAAATGGAGTACAATAAACGACAGAAGAGGTGGAGCGGGATCCAGACTGAAACGGAACGGTGGGAGGGGAGGACTGGATGTGGAAAATGAAGATATGTGGAAGGTTACCATATCGCCTATATGATATTATTGTGTTACCATCTTTTTAAATATATTTTTGTAACATGTATGTCTGCTGTATCACAACAAGATTTGGAGCTTGATCCAACATTGCTCTATGTGCCACTGCTGCTCAATTTCTGTTGCTACTGGAAAACCTTATCTGAAATAACACTGAAAACACAGAATGTCATCCTACAAAGCAAATTCATAAGGGAGTGGTGACAATAAACCCCGTAATATCGCCAGTTGGCGGTTGTTGTGGATAGGAGAAAGATGGTAGAGATAGGGAGAGAGAAAGGAGGTAGACAGAAACCCTGACAGTGGCAGCAGCATGGCAGCTAATGTCATCTCAGTTTAATCATCGCATGGGATCATGGGGTTCATGAAAATTCATTTGCATATCATTAAATGGAGAGAGGTTATTTGATGCAGGCGGCCAGAATGGGATTGGTTGAAGCGGGGGGGAAAAAAGGCAAATGGAGGGTCTCGTTATTAAACAGCAATGTTTTATAGTCCGCCAGCCGATTCATTTAATTTGGCCGTAATTAAAATGTGTCAGACTCGATCAGTCATTGGAACAGGGATGCTATCCATGTTTCAGTCAGAAAGAAAGACTAATCAGTGGATATGTGGTGGGACACTTTCCAATAACACTCTTAAGTGCTTTAGTCTACAAGGAGCTTGACCCATCCTCTCTTTTTCTTTCTGATTTGTTTGAAGGAGCGTATCAACACATTCATTTTGACTTCTACGTATCGTGTCAAGACATGTCTATCTCTGACAGGTGGTGATGCCAGCCCATGTTAGTCAATAAGAGGACCACTCGCTCCGTCTTTTTGACCTTAATGGTAAGCTGTCGGTGGTGTGTATGTATGTGCATGCATACGTGCGATACTCATTTGCATAAGTGATGTAATTAGACCGCCCTTTCACATGCAGATCAGTTTGACAACATGACAATCACTTCAACACACACACACACACACGCAGCCATACACACACACACACGATAACACACGCTTACTGCCGTGACCACCCCCATATCATGGGGAGTCTGTTGTCTGTGAGCAGAGAGTGTAAAGATTAACATAATCCAGCTAATAAGTGTGAGTAATATTCACACAGTGACGCGTGGCGTAGACACTGTCCTGCTGATGCGTATTTGTATCTCATTATAGATGTAAAGTACTGACAAGGGGCCAGCAGGGGTGTGCCCGCGTGAAGGGGGGGATGGTGAGGGGTCAACTTAAAATGTGTAGGCCCGGATAAGGGTACACCAAAAAAATGAAGGAAAAAAAACCCCACTTATTTTTATAAAGTTAACCTTTATAAAAATAAGTGTTTTTATTTATCCATCCTTTTTGTGAAAGTCTACAAAGAGTACATATAATGTGAAGATAGATTCAGCCCTGTCATTTTTAACTTGGATGCTGTAGGTCAGTAAGAAAGTTTTTCCAACATGCCCACAAAATTAGAAAAACAATTTCACTCTTGTATGGTACTAAGAAGGTACAGAGTGTCATTTCTTTTTTTTTGCAGCAGAATATTAGAATTATAAATAGAGTGTATTTGCGCTTGCAGGCTAGCTCTGCTAAATGATTGATTAGGATGGTGTGACGACCATTAAAAAGTCATTTAAAAGATGGATAGGGACCACATTTCCAAATAAAAACCACTTTATACCTGATGAAGTGCTGAACAAACTCTCCTTCAAAGACATTTACCGATTACTCTCCGGGTTCGAGTGAGTTTAATGTGGGGAGCATCCATGAACCGTTTGTGGCTCTGTATGAGCCAGAGGGTACGGTGCAAATATTTAGGACAAAATCTGAAAAGCACATGGATTGTGCTTTTCAGATTTTCAAAATTTAAAGTTGATATTTTTTTCTTTAAATGAGGCAGTGTGATGTTCGTTGGGGTTGTTTTGTAATCAGATTGCATGCAGACATTGCCACAATCAGGCTTCACCCACACAGTGATTGAAATGTATCTGATAGAACATCGTCCACTGAAGCTTTATCCAAAGAAGCTGAGCTGTGTCTAAAGGTGTGAATGTATTCCAGTTCTGTCTCTTTAACTCGGGGCTCCACCACAGCAGCATGCTTTGGGATTCATGCATAAACATGAGCTGGCCTTTCAGCTCTCTCCTCACATAACCAATCTAAATCTAAATGAGCCCCCACTACAGATACACCAGCAGGCAATGACATTACACCCCCCCGTCCCCGTCCCCCCACACACACACCCCAACCCAACCCTCTACCCTACTACCCCCAGCGACACATATACACCAGCAGGCAATAATTTCACGCCATCCCTCAAAGCCCCCCCTCCAACTCCACTGCGCACACGCTCGTACCCCTTTTTGCCGCAACCCCACCAGCTGCACAGTACTCATTTGATTAAGAGGGGGAGGACAGGGAGAAGGAGAAATGGTGGGGGATCACTTTATCAGGATGACTTTCTAAGATGGCTATCATCAGCTGCAAAGCTATCTCAAGCAGCTTCTGTGTTTATTTTTGCTATTGTTCTCCCCATGTATCTGTTTGTCTGTTTTCTGCAACCCCAATCAGACCTGTTTCACAGATAGGTTTCATCTGTGGGTACATTTATTTGTGAGGGTTTTCAGGATGGCTTGGTGGTAGAGAACACGGGGCAGGTACTGTTAATGTTAGGGCTTTTGACTCACCAACACGACATGACGCATAACAAACCGAACCAAATAATAAAGTCTTCTTTACCAACCTATGTTGTGGTCTTTGAAAATCGGTGTATCCTAAATGTGCTGTAGTTTGCAATTTTGGTCCCCTCTCTCCCAGAGTCGTAAAACACATTATCATCAGAAGCAGCAGCAGAAGCAGCAGTGTAATTCATCCAAGGTCGTTAATATTCATCATATCATTTAGTCACAAAGGAAACTCATCTGGCTGAATGTCAGAGATGTAATTAATGAAGTGACCCCAGAGGTCACGGCTCTATTCACCAAACGCCTTGCACACATTTCTGTTACACACACACACACACACACACACACATTGAACATCAAAAGCCTTCCAGCAAGACAAATCCACCATCGCACCTTCAACCTGGAACACGCAATCACCCGCACATACCACAACATTCACAAAATGGCTCCTCAGTTCTCAGTTAGACCAAAGGGATGAGACCAGAACATGCACCAAAGCAGACTTTATTTAGCTCAGTGGAGTATGGGAAGGAAAGGGAAGAGAAACACACACAGAGGGGAGACCTGGGAAAGGGAGAGTATAGAGACACACTACACCACTGGAGCAGGACATAAGGACAGGTGCACATCACAGGTATCTTTTTGGTCATCACTATGGCAACAATATATCCAGGAAAAAGGAAAAGAATAGTTTTATCTACAGTAAAGGTAACAAAGTCCCTTCACCGTAGAGGACCTCAATATGTACATATTACAGTCACTAAGAGCAAGAAAATACGAGAGAAAAGAATTCCAACATAATCTGTATACAAAAACTGCCTTGTGGTATTTGGAATGCACATTTCTGTACAGAAGAAAGCTCATTGGTATTGTCGTAAACATTGGTTTAAGAACAAAACTTAAAGGAGTTAGTACACACACATCCTTTGAAAAGTAGGTTGTGATGTTAGAGTTCAGCTAAGTTGCTATAGCTGGACATATCGACTAGAGACATTGCAACACAGAAGACTTAACAACACACCAGTTGAGGGTTTGGGGGTCTTAACTCCTTCAAATCGCTTTGCAGTATCTCCGTAAGTACTTTTAGAAGTAAATGCCCCAAGCAGGTTTCTGTGTAAGCTAGAAAAAATATTTCTGTTTTTATGAATGCCTTTCAGTTCTCTGAATGGGGTTAACTAATATGATACTGAAAAACAAACCTGACGGAATTGAGCCCCACATGTCCACATGTTTTCAACAGAATAACAGAGTAGCAGTTTATCAACAGCATCACAGGTATCATTACAGTTTGTAGTCATTAAAGCCTATTGATAAAGCGATCAGAGCATGCATCTTTCTACAGTATCGTTAGAAACTACAGTACATTAGCAGCAAACTGGACATCCTTAAGGGCTGAAGTTTAACACTATGGTAAAAAATGAAAGAAAAATAAACTGCAACATTTCTCAAGAGAAGTAAAACTCTTTAACCGCTATATTACAGACTGCCATGGCTCTAGTTTGGGGTTTTGGTTACAGTCTCCAGTGTGCTTATGAGAGGCAGAAAACAGTAGCTTAAATATAGGGACTCCTTCCTTCTTTAAAAACAGCAATACATCGTCAAGTAAACAGTAGCGCTTATTTTTGTAGGTCATATGGTTAAAGTATTATCACGTCTTTGGATTTATGTCTTAAAGCATTAATTATTGTTTAGCTATTATTGTTATATTATCATTATTACAGTAAGAATAAGAACTGGTTGTAAAATAACACGACAAAAAAAGGAAGCAGGTAGGGAGGAAGAAAGAGGGAAAATAAATTAAGTGTACAAAAATAACATCAGTAACATCCAAAGTTTTTCTTTGCGCAGTAGCTCCCGATCTGTAAATGGAAAAGGGAGCTATGTCTCAATCATCCAATGAAGTCTTGAGTCAACCATACAAAAGCTAAATACTGTACATTTACCCCTCACACTATTAAACACTTTAGTTTCAATAAGGTTTTTTGTAACAATCTATTACTCAGAGGTGAAAAGCTCAGATCTTTGCAATACAGATGTTTTTGTAGATATCTTGTAATACTTAGTCCAATTTTAAAACCGTGACTCTTCTGTTTTTTTTGGGGAAAAAAACAGACAAGTTCAGTATTAAGATCACATTAGAAGTGAAGTTGTTGAGCTGTAAACCTGAGCATAGAAAGCTTTACATTAATCACATAACATTGGTCAGCCATTGGTATATTCAAATAGAACAGAAAGGCAGTAGGTCACCTTGCCTGAACACATCAAAGCTGTCATAATCTTTTCATAATCATGACACTATTATATCGAAGCAAGACAGTTCATCTCAATTCATAAGATTTATATCAAGAAACTATTACTAAACACACACAATGTCAATTCGAGTTTGGTTAAAGTTTTCATAAACAGTATAATGGTTGAGTGCTATAAAAAATAGTTTGCCCCTTTCAGGACAAACTGGCCTTTTTTCGTTCTGTGCTATTTGGGCTGTTATTCACTAAAGAAACATAGAAGGTGTACATGTACAACAGAAGACTCTTCATTGGCGTGTGGAGGGTTGAAGCTGCATTCAAGCACCATGTCAGTCTATTGGTACTCGGCTTACCATATGGAAGCTGCAGATCCCCCCCATTCACCATACAGACGTCAGCTCTGTCAGCAGTTTGTTATTGAAAACAAACATTAAAAGTAAATCCACAGACGTAAAATTTTGGTTACGAGCTTTGGAATCTGAGTCAGTCTTTACAAAAGCTCTATGCAAATACCTCCATCTATTTCAAGGATATTTTTCCGTTTTTTTTTTGTTATCTTCTGTCACCGTTAACAGCTTTGTTTTTTTCTTCAAGTGTATCTTTTGGAACCTTCTATTTACACTAAATCTCTTTGACAATTTCTTTTCCAGCCTCTTACAGACTGACACTACATGCTACACAGCTAGTCATCTAGCACTGTCAGTTGGAGGGCCCACTGTGAGTCTGTCATGCAGACTGAGAGGTAGACTGCAGGTCTAGCTGGGCAGTGAGGTCACATACTTGGAGAATGCTCTTTGGCCTCTGTGGCATCTGGTTGGTTTTACAAGGTGGTGTTTGGTTGTAGTAAGGTGTCTTGACAGGATAGGGAGAGGGGCTCTTTTTTGACAAGAGAGTTCAGACCAGGAAAAAAAGTTTTTGGAGGAGAATGAAAAGAGGAAAGCTGTTGTTGAGAGGACTTGGTTTGGGCTCTCTCCTACAAAAAGGTTGAGAGTCGTTCTTTGGGCCAAGAAGGCTCTGCATCTTTGGGGTGTTCAGGTGACAGATTTGGCAGCAAAGTGGGCAGGGAATATGTGTAGAGGTTGACATGTATAACAGGTGCAGGAGAGGTTTCAAGGAGGGTGTGTGAGAAGGAATCGTAGTCGGCCTCTCTAAGCTCTATCTCTCTCCCCTGCCCCTGCGGACAGCTCAGCCTGCTCTCTCTCTGCAGCATCAGAGCTCAGGCTCCTGGCTCTCTTCTCCTTGGCTCTGGCATTCTGGAACCACACCTGCAAAATATATTATATATTTTAAAGGGGTCATTATCTGTTTAAGACTCAGTTGTTATACAACTTTTTTTAAATAAAAAAATGCACCAAACTGTATTTTATTTGTTATTTTCTATAAAATATTTAGAACATTTACCTGTACCACACGGTGAGGTAGTCCCAACTCCTGGCCAAGTGCCTCACACTCATGTCGATTGGGGTTGCGGTGGCTCCTGTAGAAGTCTCTGAGCTGCATTACCTGGTAGTGGCTCATCTGTGTCCTTTGGCGCTGCTGCTGATGGTTCTGCTGCTGCAGAGCTTGTGTTTCACCCCATTCTGCACCTGGACCCCCAGATCCCTCAGGACTAGGAGAACCTTGGTCAGCCAAACTGGAACCCTCTTCACATGGGTACTCTTCTTCATCTTCTTCATAATCATCCTCCTCCTCTTGGTTTTTTAAATCAGTGGTTGACAAGGAGGTCATAGATGGCTTTACAGTTAATTGGTTGTTGCTGATGGCAATGCCATGGTTTGGGTAAAAGGAGACAGAGGGGCCAGGTCTGTCCATGACAGATGACATAGCCATCCCAATCTGCCCATTAGATCCATTACTCATTGATAAGTTATAGCCTGCTCTTTCAGCCTCAGTCCAGTGGCGTGACCTCATATGGGCATCCAGAGCACTCTTCACCTTAAACAGAGCCCTGCAAAATGGGCAGCGCAGATGGTTGAAACCCAAGCTGAAATTGGATCCTGGCCCAAGTGAACGAAATTGTCCTTTTCTCTCTCTGGCACGTGTATTCTGAAACCAAACCTGTAGATGAAATATCAACATTTTTTTAAATTACATTAAATCATTAGTTTGTTTTTATGTGTTGCATTATGATTTCAGTACAACTCTTGCAAAAACACATACCTGAACCACACGTCTTGTGAGGCCTACATCCCGTGCAATGCTTTCCAGGACACCTCTGGTGGGGTTGGAGTCCATGCTGTAGCGCTGGTACAACACTTCAAGCTGCTCTGGGGTGATCGTGGTTCTCTGCCGTTTATCCCTTCGTTGTTCTTCATCAATTTCTCTACTACTCCTTTGGCCTTCAAAACTGCCCTCTGATATAATTTTTGAATTCTGCTTTATGGTAGCCAGGGACGTTTGAGAGAGGCTGGTGAGGGAGGTACTTGAGTGTTCAGAGAGTGTGTTCTTAATCTGTATGTTGTTTAAGTGTGACATCATAGGATGTGTTGGGTTAGGGTGCATTTGAGACATAGCACCTGAAAGCATTTGGCTCGCCATCAAGGTGTGGTTGGGGTGAAGCATCATATAAGGCATGGATCGTTCTGGAAAGCCGGAGTGGAGAAATTGAACCTGGGACTGAGCTGCCAGGAGGTGCCTAGTCTGATGCTCCTGCCACAACTGGAATGATGGCAAAGACATTGGGCAAAGACTGCACTGAAACTGAGCCTGGGTTTGGGGTGGAAGCTGTATATTTGGCTGAACTTCTGTGGGTAAGCCAGAGTTGGAATCAGGCAGCTTGTGGCTTTTTTCTTGCTCTGGAGGAGCAGGGAGGCTTGATGTATCAGCAGCTTGATCAGAAAGGGGGCTGTGTATCCGCCCTTGACTGGAATGAGCCGTGGAAGGATGGTGAGTTCATTTTTTTGTGAAGAGGAGGTAGAGCAAGGAGCAGGGCTTTCTGCAGTCCTTTCGGGCTGCAGGGTGGGCTCAGGTTTTGGAGAGGAATCTGTTTTTATAGCCGGAACAATGTCCTTATGCTTAATATCTGCATCTGAAATGCCATTTTGAGTTTGAACAAAATCTGTGTTGGTGTTTTCAAGATGAGGAACTATTTTATCTTCTTGGTTGCCAGTAACAGGTGTTGATGCATCTTTGGCTGTTGGATGCTCACTCTCTGGGCAGGAAGAGGTTGAATCAACAAAAGGTGAATCTGGGTGGGTGTAATACTCATAAGTCAGATCCATGGAGTTTTCATTTTGCGATTCACTATGTCGTTCATCACCACAGCTGTTATCGTCATTATCGTAATCTTCATTCTTGTGCCTACCATTTCTCTGTCTGTGAATGTTGTCATGCTGGTTCTTCCCTTCTGATCCGTCATCATTCCCCTGGTCTTGATGTTTGCGGGCTCTCTGTCTGGCATTTTGGAACCATACAACAATGACTCTGTTAGAAAGAGACAACCGTGCAGACAACCTGTCATATTCTTCCTCTCTGGGGTAGGGCGTGGCCTCAAAAACCCTCTGCAGGGTCTCCAGTTGTTGTTCTGTGAAGCGGGTACGGGAAGAGCGTCTTCCCCTATGGAGCTCTTCTCTCTGGATGTCTGTTGTCAGAGGCTCGGGGGAAATGTTGACTGGAAGGCCTGGGGACAGTGAACATGGAGAAAGTGACAACGGCTGGGATTGTGCCATTTCTTTTCTGGACTCCTCCAGGGCAATGGTTGGTGGATTATTAAAATTATAAGGGGAATCCTTGTCTCGCTGGCGCTCTTTAAATAGGGTGTTGCGGAACCAGTGTTTGATGACTTTAAGAGGCAGACCAGCCAAAGCAGACATCTTGTTGATCTCTTGATCACTGGGGAGGCTGTTAATGTCAAAGTGTTTCCTCAGAACGGTCAGCTGTTCCTCGGAGATTCGGGTTCGGGTTCTCTTACCCCCCTCAAGTGTAGTTGGGCTGGCTTGGGGTTGTTGTTGTTGTCCTGTTTGGATAGGATTTGGTTGGGATTTTTGACCAAGCAGCACAGGATTGAGCTGTGGGGGCTGAATTTGCAAAACTGGGCTGAGCTGAGGTTGCTGGGCGAGCAAAGATGGATTAAGCTGTGGCTGTTGACCTAGCAGTGCTTGGTTCAGTTGAGATTGGTAGAGTTTTGCCAACTCAGGATTCACATTTGAGTCCAACCAAGGTTTAGACTGAAGAGCTACTGACTGCATTACAAGTGGAGAGAGGAGAGGTAGCTCCATTGGGAAAGGACCAGGGGGTAGGGAAAGCTTAGGCAGTGTCAGTGGAGGCATAGAGAGCTGAGGCAAAGAAAGAGGAAGCATTGGTAATGGAAGAGGTATGGAGGTAGCCTGGGATGTGGTATGAGAAGTAACTGTGGCAGATGTGCTTGGGTTGACCGCCTCTTGTGAAAAATCTTGAGGTTGTGAATGTACTGGAGAAGAAGGAGGAGGGGCAGTTGATGATGGGTCTGAAGCTGGTGAGCATGTTTTGGTTACAAGTTCTGAAACTGAAGTTGAGGGTAAGGGTTCAAGTGTTTTAACTTGAGGCCTGACTGTTTCTATTGCAGTTTCTGATTCTGAGGATGGAGCTTGAACTGCAGCTTGGGGGCAAGTAGTTAAATCTTCCCCAGATTTAGGCTGTGGGAGGGGGTACATCTGGTCATACTGCAGACGGTATTCTCTGGAAAACCTCTCCAATGCAGCGGTTGGAAACAGAGACCTGTGAATGTACTCCTGGTGACTTTTCAAGATCAAGGAATCTGAAAAGAACTTGCCACAGTCTCTGCACTCCTTTCCTCTTCCACAGCATTTTTTTCCAGATTCTTCTTTTTTCTTCACTTCATCTTGTGGCAAGTCTTCAATCCCTCCATTGACTTCTACTCCATCCTTATCTGTGTTACAGCCTTCCAGCCTTACATCTTGTAATTCAAAAACCTTTTCTCTTTTTTCCTCTGACAACACCCCAATCTCCTTGTTATCACAGTACTCCTGTTTATCTGGTATCACATGCGTTGATATCTGCTGCTGGTTTCTGTGTCTACTTTGTATGTATTGCAGTGCCAACTCAAAGCCATAACTTTGCAGCAGTGCTCTAAGAGGCTCCCCATTTACTGAGGCATAGGGAATTCTAGGAGGGGGGCATTGCAGTCCAAGAACATTACATGGTGAAGGATCTGTTTCCCTCTTCTGACCCTCATTTTTGACTGTAGGAACAGGCATTTCTTCTTTTCCTTCTTCAAGGCTGGAATTGCCGGGTTGTCTTTCTGTCTCGTTTACGGAGGATCTACTGTAGCCCGCTTCTACAATGGCTTCACGATGCACAGGATCCTTATGTTGACTAAAAACTGAGTTTAAATGTTGTCTCTGTATTTGTTTCTCATTTCTTTTGGGCTGAAACTCCCCCTTTGCTTCTGTCTCAATTTGATAATTTGCGATGGAAAAGTCAGATACTAACTGACTAAGTTCTGGGTTCTTTACAGATATCTCTGAGTTAAGCTTCATGTCTCCGGACAAGTAAAAGGGAAGAAGAAGTTGCTGCTGCAGATTGAGTAAGTTTTCTGCTGTCAGGGAAAAGTGCTGTTTGAGGAGATTCTCTGGCCCCAAGGGAAGGTGCTGCAATAAATGGGATTGGAGAAGGGCTGTTTGTTGTTGTAACTGAGCTTGGGCCTGTGCCTGAGCTAATTGTTGCTGTTGTATAAGCATAAGCTGGTTTCTGGATGCTAGAAGCTCTGCCACTCTCTTTTTAACCTGCTGGTTGTCACTTGGGTTAGGGAGGGTGGACTGGGCCTCAGCTGGTACACCCTGGAATAGCGAGGAGGTTGAACTGCTAACTACATTTGGCCTCTTGGTAAAACACTTGGAGGTTTTGTCTTCTCTCGTGGTAGCCGCCTGAGTAGCCGTAGTGGAAACTGACACAGGAGCAGCTACACTAGATGCTGGGGTCTGTGGTGCTGAATTCTGGGCAGCACGAGCTCTGGTCTGGTGTAGGACAGAGCGAAGATGTATGTCCAATGTGGAGCTCTGGCTGTAGCCCACTCCACACAATCGGCAGCGGTATGGCCTCGGATCTGGGCCACGCGGAGCCTCAGGGGCAGTAACACATGTGCCAGGGTCCTGTAGGGCTCGTCTGGCCCGATGAAGATGAGACACAGAGTTATAGTGGACCAGAAGAATGGTTTTCTGGGTAAAAGATTCAGAGCATATTGTGCATTTATAGGGCCTGGTTGGATCAAGGTAGCGGTCCATTGTGGGGTTTGAGCCCCTTTTGACAGGAGAGCTGGAACTAGGTTCTGATCTGATTTCACCATGAAGCCCTTTTTCTAGCTCAGTTAATTCCTCCTCACTGCCATCAGTTTCATCAATCATATCCTTCTCCTCAAATTCAACTCCTTCTTTTGTTTCCTCCTTTCTATTCATGTCAATTGCTTCCTCCTCCTCCATGTCCTCATCTTCAGCCTCACCTGCTTCTTGACCCACTTGAGGTGACAAACTTAAATTTTGTTGAAATGAACTCTTGTTAATCTCCATGAACTGTGTAGTGTGAGGCGTTGGGAGTGTATTCTGCCCCTGCGTGTTGTCAAGCTGTGAGTGTGTGTTCTGCATGTGTCTATGCAGAGCCTCCTGACTGCGGCATTGTCTTGAACAGATGGGGCACTCTGTCGCCGCCCTCATGGCATGGTACTGCCAGTGCAGCTGGAGCTTCTCCTGAGTGGGGAACGCCAGGCTGCACCTGCTGCAACGAAACCGGTAACCATGGCGATCAGAAAGGGGAGGGGGGTCGCTGGCTGGGGAGCTGGGTGGAGAAGAAGGGGGGAACTGAGTTGGGGACTGAGGAGCCAGTCTGCCATTAGAATGGTGAGTGGTGTTGTCTTCAAGGGGTGGGGTGAGTAGAGCTGTGACATCTTTGGGTGTGGCTACTTCTTCTTCAGCATTTTCAACTAAAGTTCCATTTTCAACTGAAATACCTGAAAAAATACAGGAAATCACAAGTTAAAATGACTTTATTAGTTGGGAAAAGATGGCTAACAGGACAATGTGTATTGAATGAATTACCACATTATTTATTATTAATTAATTATTCATCTAAACTACAGGTAAGTATGATCATGCAATTTTACCAACCTTTGTCTTTCTGTGAATCCACTGGGTCAGTGGTATTACTAGTATTGGACCAAATTGCATTGTTAATTTTGGGGGATGCATTAGTCAGACTTTCATCTGAACACAGTTCTGGTTCTGGTTCAGTCTGCAGCAGAGGTGGTTGTTCAAATGATGGTGTGACCTGTAAGGAGAAAAAAAACTTTTTCAGCCTTGTCTTTCTTTATTTGTATCAAAAGTTACCCTTAGTGTTGTTTTACCAGTTCAAACTAATAAAAAAAAAGACGCTATATTTATCTTATCTCAACATGTTAAATTGTATGTCATAATAGCAACCAAAGATCAAGATGTATAAACATGGAGTGCCTGCACCCTGTCCTAATATCACTGAACGTCCAAGTGTGAATTTTAAGTGTATCTTTAAATCTTCCACCTGCCTGAACAGCAGAGTATACAGGAGGGCACATCAATGTAGAAATAAGTGTATATGGTCGAGATATGCAGGTTCTGCCCTTAAGCTCCTACGACACCCTTCAACATGCCCCAAGGGTTTAATAAAACTTTACTGAGCTGAATAACAAATTTATTCAAATTCATTCTTCATATAAAAAATCTTCATCTTCACAGCTTCAAGCACAGAGACCAAATACTATATCTATGCGAACAGCTAGCTACCCTAAGGAAAGAACGGACAGCTAAAGATGAGATTTACATGACAAGAGTTTTCTCTGAATAACAGCTTCATAAGAGAGAGAGAAGAACAACCACACACACACACACACACTGCAGAGAAAACTGAAGGTCAGGCTTAATCTAGAGAGCGTAATTGGAAAGCAAGGTACATAATGGCCATCATCACCTCAGTCTGAATTAATGAACCTCAATTACTATCAGAGAGAGTGAGGGAGGGGTAAGAGGGAAGGAGGGAGGACACTGATTGGAAGGGGTGAGGGTTAGAGAATATGAAAAAGAGAGGGAGCAGGGAATAGGAGTGAGGAAGTATGGGGCAATGAACAAAAAACTGCTATGTAGAGAGAGACTGAGTGAGGGAGGGGTAATGCATAAGAAATTGGGAGACAGAAGGGAGGGGCAGGAACAGAGATTGCTGAATAGAAATGATAGGAGTAGTTTGAGGGGGGAGTAAGGGACAGCAGAGGGAGGAAAGGGTGAAAAGCAGTCAGTCAAGTGGAGGCGAAGAGCGCATGAGACAAAGGCCACTTAGCATACGGGCCAGGGAGATGGAGGATGGTGATGTGGATAGATGACCAGTCTTTGTTAGTTGGAGAGACACAGTAAAAAGCATGGGGGCCCCTTTTTTAGCTTGACTGCACTTCTGGTAATAGAGGGCTACTTAAACATGCATTATAGAAAGACTGGCTTTTCCCTCACTCACTCAGTCAAAACCTCTCTCCTCCACTCTAAAAGACACACATACACACACACACACACACATACACACACACATTCACACACACACACACACACACACACACAGAATGCACGGCTGCATCAAAGATGATAGCGGGGAGCTACTTAAACATGCATTAAAAAAAAGCGCTGCCTTTCTCTCTGGTGCTTTCTTAATGGAATTGTCTCCCTACATTTCACTCTACCCCATCCCCCACTGCTTTGCCTTCTCATTTTCTTCTTCTTCCTGACTTACGCAAATACAACAAACACACACGTGCATATACACTTGCGTCGCTTGCACACACTTACTGTGCTGATGAGCTTGTCTACACAGTCCTCAGCCACACTGTGAACATGTGTGAGATGCTGCTGAAGCTGTTTGTATGGGAGGTTAACCTGGCACAAAGGGCACTGGACAGTCTTGGAGAGAAGAGACAAAAAATGATTAAAGCATTTAATTAAAAGGCTCCAAGGAGAGCATTTATGTGCAGTGTTTTGTGGCAGTACAAAGATTCGAAACTGCATTTATTGTGATTCATGCACATTTACATTTCTCTCTTGCTGGTTCTCATTTTGCTGGTGTAGTCTGGGGCGTTTGGTTGAGATGGGGATTTCCAATTCCTCGTGTCCAGAGGATGAGCGCTTGACTGAGGGGAATGAACCCCTCTGTTCTCTTTCCTCCTCTTTATTTTCTACTTTCACTGTAAAGAAATTATGAACACGTTAGCAGAATGTTATAAACTTGTTATGCCATCAATCAATATACTATAATAGTGTGGGGTCGGGTGGAATGCTGGGAGTTAAAAGGTGTGATTTTAATTCATGTAGAAAAACATCCGTACCCGTCTCCTCGGAAATCAAGATACATTTGTCTTTGGTTGTGTCCAAAGGACCAGTGGTGGTCTCACTGGAAGTTTCAATATCCTCGCCGAACTCTCCTGGGACAAGACAAATAATTGTAACACAAACATTGTGCTGCGTATAACATGTTCTTTCAAACTCTCAGGCTAATTGTAGTTTATAGTATTCTCCAGACAGCATTGTTAAAATAAACCTGTCTTTGGGCCACACTTCATTCTTCTTGTGTGCATCCATAAACTATTGACTAATCATTGATTCTCCATTAGATTCTCCTCATGGTGGAGTAAACATAATATGAACTTACGGCACATGAATTCACCTCAATAAGTCTCAATCAGCACAGAGACAAATCACGGGTTACCCTTAATCCACAATTAAAGTGATGACTGAATTAATTATTTCATCTTGAACAAACTGCACACATCTACCTCGCCTCCACCTCTCTGGTTCTTGTCTAGAGCTTTGGTATTGGTCCATTGATTAGCAGGTGCTAGTTAGCTGTTGTCAGGGGTTATTGGGGGATATAACAAGGATGTGTATTGACTAATCAATTTACTTGATCAATATCTCAGCAACAGCCACGGCTCTTTTTCTCACTCTTTTTTTCTCTCAATCTCTGGTTTTCTCGCTGATGCAGCCCACACATGAAATTAATTATATCCACAGAGCTCAGATTCTTACCTTGGTCACCATCAGGGATTTTCCTGATGGTAAAAATGGCTGCCAGCTCCTCACCGCCCATGGGCTGCAGCTGCAGTAGCCCTTCCCTCTGTTGATGTGTTGCTGTTTGACTGTGTTTCAGTACTTGGAGTTTAGAAGAGGACGAGTGGTTGCATAGGAGGCAATGGAACAGCCACGAACCACCATCAACCTCACCATCATACTGCTGCAGAAACTGAAATAAAAACATTTTATAAATGGTGTAAGTGTGATTATCATGAATTCATAGATACAGATATAAATAGGTAGATGTAGATTTATCATACAAATATTTGTTGGGGCTTAAGACAAAAAAATAAAGTGTACTGACTCGGTAAACTCGGACGCTGGCTTTGTGGTGTGAACCGAGGGAATGACCTCGCAACTTCTCCAAACTGCTGGTCACGCAGTCACATAGGTTGCACCTCAGCTGGACAGGATTACCCTTAGCAATAAGGGCCTCCCCCTCCTGACCCCTGTCTCCACCCTCCTGCAGGTGAGCAGCAAGCTGGTACCTTATACGGTGTCTGTCAGTCTGACAGTGCAAGGAGAAGTTGGCCCTCAGCGGGGTGGTGTAGCCGCACAGCCTGCAGTGGCAGCCACCCGCGACCAGGGAGCACCACATAGACTGTGGCAGAGAGCGAGTGGCGTTCAGGTGCTGCTCCACGGACTCTAAGCTGTCAGAAGAAAAACAGGAGCAGACGAGGCATTGAAACACACCCTGGGAGAGAGGTCCGGTCGGGGAAAGAGACGGCGCTGGAGGTGGGGAGGGAGACGGGGACGGAGATGGAGTCAGGGCAGACCCAAGGGTGACTGGCTGCTCTGCAAGTTGTTGACTGGTCAGTCGCATGTTCAAGGAGAGTTCGGCGCCTAAAACACAGAGAGAGGGAAAAAAAAAACTTTCAAGAACTGAAACCATTTTTAGACTTTTACTTTGGATTAAATGGAGAGATGACTCACCTGTGTTTTGTAGGTTTTTAAGCTGCGGGGCGAGGCTTCTACAGTGAGACAGATAGTAACCTCTCTGTAGCCGCAGCATGTTGTGTGTGTGTTTCTCGCTGGTGGTGTGTATGCGCAGGTTGCGGGCAATGCTGGTCTCGTAGTCGCACACGTCACACCGCCACCGCTTACCGTGAGAGTGGGAGTGTGCAGGTGGTGTGAGCTTAGCAGGCTGGGCTGTGGGCGAGGGAATACAGAGTGGGAGCTTGTATGCAGGCTCTTCAGCCGTGGGACCGTTTGAGGAGCTGCTGTTGTTGGCAACGTGAGAAGTGGGCAGGTGACCATTCGAGTGGCCCCCATTTTGAACGTTATTGAGGTGTTTATCCGACTGCATGTGTATGCTGAGGTTGCCTTTCGACGACGTGGCATAATCGCACACCTCACAGCGGTAGGGCTTGTAGCCACAGGCGTAGGTTTCACCACGGGCCAAACGAGGGTGAGCTTTCCCCGAACTACAATATCCACACACATCTCGTGTTGCGCCGCCGCATATACACTTCCCCCCAGAGGAGCCGCACACACACTGGCCTCCCGTCTCTGGATGTTTCTCCTTCATATGGACTTGCAGAGTATGCTGTGACTTATAGTGCCAGTTGCACTTGGGGCATTTCAGCGTCTTGCAGGAATTGCGTGAGTGCATTATGGTCATGTGACTCGTCAGTGAATTAGGAGAAAGTTCTGGGTTGAGGTTTTTAAGGACAGCTTCTTTCTGTTCTTCCTCCTGTTCCCTCTCGTCGTCCACTTCTGTGTCTAGCTGGCTGTCATTTGGTTCTGGAGCTTTGGCACCATCTACACTGGATATGGAAGAGTGAGGACCCCCTGCAGGCCCGACGTCCTCAGCAGGTGTACTGGCAGGCTCCATACCTGCCAGGGTAGAGGGCTGGGATTTAAAGCTCTGAGGAAACTCAGAAATCCAGCCCTGATCTCCCTTAATGTCTTTTACCTCTGTTTCGCTTTGCAGGGTGGGAGAGGAGGACGGACAAGTGAAGTGCTTTGGAGAGGTGGAAAGAAAAGGGGAGGGCTTTGGAGAGGCGGAAGGAGTGGGGGAGGGCTTTGGAGAGGCGGCTGTTTTGTTGTCGAGTGTGCCACTGGCCTTTGCAGTGCTGGAAGAAGAGCTGTGCTGGCTCTGTTGAGGTAATAAAGAACATTTGGATTTGGTTTGGCTTTGGTTTGAGATGGCCTCCTCCTCTTCCTTTTCCTTCTCTCCGCTGCTGCTGCTGCAAAGGGCTGCTGGGAGGCCCCCTGTAACTGACGCCTCTCCCACACCGCCATGTACCCCCGCTTCTTCCTCCCTTCGCCCTGACAAATATCCCTCCCCAAAGTCTTCTTTCATCCCCTGCTTTTGACACGCTCCATTCTCCTGTAAATGTCGGCCTCCTTCTTCTTCTTGCACCCCTCCCTGGGTCTCCTCTCTAGCCTGGGACCCCTCTGCGCCCTCCTCCTCCTGCTGCTGAGGCAGGGTCAGGGGCTCTTTGGCAGGGGCTGTGGCTGAGGTATGAGAGGATGACCCCTGCTCAGGACTGACCTCCAGGGTCAGGAGAGGAAGAGATAAAGCCTGGGGACTGAGGTCAGCATCTCTGTCCTCTCCTCCCCCTCCATCCCCTCCTCCTCCCTCACTGTCCATACCAGAGGCTACAGCTTCCACGCATTGTTACCCCACCTGTGTGTTTCAGATATAGAAGGAGAGGAGAAGACAGACAGAAACAGGAGAGAGAATAGGGAAAAAAGAGAGGCAAATTAAATACATGAGTCATGTAAATATTATTGCATAACAGCGGAGGCCATTGATTACAGTCCCTAGATAGCATCTATTCAATACTGCTTTCACAATGCGCAATACAGAGGCTGGTTACTCAGGGGTTAGCGTTAGCCCTTAATGGGAAAATCAATAGCATGAGCGCTAAACTAGGTAGAGGAATGTGGGTAAAGGCTACGCAGGAGGTCTGTAATATTCCTCAGGGGATAGGATTAAATAAAGAACTGAATGCTTGTGAGCTAAAGGGATTCCACTAAATTGCCACACTTAGATAAAAGCTGATAAAAGAACCATTTTTAAAGCCAGTGTATCCATTCTACTTCTTTTGCTGTTCATTAGTACAAAGATGTTATGTGAGGAAAAGGGGATTTCTTTTGGGGAAGGAGGCATTAAACAACTCACAAGGCAAACATAGTGGAGGACAACAATTTAATAAACGACTGTATAATCTCATAAACTAAAAAAAGCAAAACAAGATTTTGTGAAATATTGTCGAGATTTTTACACAAGTGTTATGACTGTCGTGTTGCAGTGATTAATATCTAGACGGCTCATCGGTAGATATTAATTTTGAAATAAAATGTGCAAAATGCAATCAGAGTCAACAACATTGGAGTGCATAAAAAATAATTAGAATAACGTTAAAAAGCTGTATATTTCAATTCGGCATTTTCTGGGCTATTCAACAATATTCAATTTAAAATGAAACTAAAATAGTTCTATGACATTTCATCACACCATAAGACTTCAAGGTATTAATTAGAATTTCAGAAATATTAAACAATCACAATTCACAAAGATTATGAATTGTCAGCACTATCCTGCCTTACTACAAAGGCTTTCTAAAAAAAAAAAAAAAAAGAACAAATCAGGCCTCTCCTCCTGACAGATGAATGCCTGATGAGACAGATACATCTCTCTCCCTATGTGTGTGTCCCACAATCTCATTACTGACCTTTTTTTAATCAAGGAGAGACCTTAATGTACCCTTTCACCTTCTCCTTCAGCTACCCCACCTCCTCCTCCTCCCCTTCCCCTCTCTGTCTCCTGCAGCCACCCCCCCCCCCCCCTCTTTGCACCTTAAAGATATATGGCTCATATCGGGACTCTGATAGTGCTTTAATGTACTGTGTTTATGTCACAGGCCACAGACCCTTGCCCACTGCAGCTGTCCACTGTCCCGCCGGGTATAGCACTGAGGGGCTGAGTCCGCCTGCCTGCCAGCCAGCAGCTGAGAACAGTCTCTAATCTGATAAAGATTTTCATTTACACTGCAATCAATAACCCAGGTCTATTGGCAATGTAACTATTTATACAAACATTTCTGGCTCTCTATCGATCAGAGGTGCGGGAAACTATCATTTAACAACGTGTGTGTGTTTGTGTGTGTGTGTGTGTGTATGTTAATGTGTGTACATCCTACTCTGCACTGCAAACAGAGCAAGATAATGTCAATTAAGCAAACACACAGAACAACTGAAATTGAAGATGCTTGTTAGTACTTTGAACAGCATAAAAGCAAGATAAATATTTGTTGTTAAGAGTGTGCACATCAGATATTTATGATACCATACAAATAGTGTATGAATATGTATCTAATGTGTGTGTGTGCTTGTGTGTGCTTGTGTGTGTTAAGAATAGAGCGAAAGGGGAGACAGGGGGATGAAGGAGAGTAAGACAGAGAGAAGTGTTCTGTGGCTGTACATTAGGAAAATGCTTCTTTTTTTTTTTTTTTACTATTATTTATATGATCTGGAGCAACACAGTTGGACATGGACTAATTAATTTTTCAACACACGAGGACCTAATGGATTACACCTGAAGGTAAAAGCACTTCACTGTGTCTAGTATTATCCTAGGGACATTTAAGAATGCGGGACGAGCAGCGACTTGAAGTTCACTCCCCGTCTCTGTCTGTGTTGTCAAGCCACTGACCAACATTCAGCCTGCACTCTACTTCAGCCTTTGTTTACAGTGGACCGCACCGTACCACACTCCGATCCGGCACAAAAAAAACCAAGAGCGATCGCGTCTAGTATCCAGTAACAGGTGACTCAACACTCAACTAGATCGACAAAAAGCTTGTTTTTCTCACGAATTGCAAGCTGCACTGACCTAACAACCTATCCTCCCCACCGCCCGGGTTGGGTCCTCCCAAGTCCCTTTAAAATCGTAAACAAATGACAGACTTACATTTCTGCAGCGGCTCTGGTACAAAGCTCCGTACGCTGAATGTGTAGTAGTCCAGAAAACAATCGCATAGAGAGCCCACTCATTCCTTATGAATGACCCTCTGCGTTGTACGGAGCCAGGAGGAAAAAAAGGGGAGAGGGAGAGAGAGCAGCGGGGTCCAAGTTGTTAGCAAACAACAGAGTAATTAAAGCTACATATAGGCTGTAGTAAACAGAAGATAGGGGACGGAGGGGTTTGTGCGAGCTCCAGAGGTAGAATGAGTTCTGATCACTGTGGGGGGAAAAACACTTGGCTCTTTATTCCTGCTAATTAGTTTCCTTCAAAAAATGGCTGAGATTACGCCCAGTGCGCATGTGCGTAATTGCGCAGACACCGCTAATTAGCCCGTTTGGATCAATAGGATTCCGCGAGAGAGAGGAAAAAGAGAGAGAGGGGGAATGGAGCGAGTGGGAGAGGCTTCAGCGGATGCAAAGAGAAGAACAGGGGAAGAAGAAAATATTTTTTTTTAAAGTGCGAGAATTACACCTGAAACGGTGAATTTGAATTACCTACAAAATTATTTATGGCTGAATTATAACAGTAGCCTAAAAAAAAAGTAAAATGTACACCAATCCTAATCTCAGTGAAAACACTGAGTTAAAACAAATAAAAAAAATATTCGTAAATAAAAACACATATTGACTATAAAATACCACAAATAGTGGAGTTGATGTTGACAAACAAAAAAACACAAACGTAATGTCAATATGATTCTAAAGGCAAATATGGATGACAAAAAAGTGCGACATTTGCCGTATTTACTGTCAGGAAGAACAAACACACAACAAGGCCCCTACGAATAAAACACACCGTTTGTTTCAGATACATCATTGCATATACGTACAAATGTAGGTGTCGTGTACTTGACGTAAACTGTGATTTTCCTGAAATATTTCAGCTTCTCTTTGTGGCTTTTCTGCGTCAGAAAAGTTGGCCCCTTATCACAATGGTTTTGTCTTACAAATAGCCTTCAGAAGTCAAACACAGATCTTGAAATAAACACTTACAATAAACAAACAAAAAAAAGAAATCATCTAAACTGCTCCACTATGAAACGTGACATTATTGTATTTTGGAGTGTGGCTGCAGGTGTGGGATTCAGGCATTGGTTTTTATGATTTAATTAAAATGTTGGACAAAACAGAAAAAGAAATGCTTAAGCCTAAATTGACGTGTCCATTCCTCATCACAGAAGACCTTTTGGGGTTTTTTTTCTGCTCCGGTCGTCCCATCCTAGCCACTCGGGTCCATTGTTATGATAATACTATTGTGAATTTCACGCTGGATGTGCAATCTGTCCATCGTCCATATTTAAGAAGGACATCGCTGCATTTATATGATCAAATAGTAGTGCTTTACTTAAAAGGGTTCTGAATGTCAAAGCTGATCTCTTCTTGTCAAACAATTGTGTGTATAAAAAATAAAAAGGTAAGCAAGGCTACAATGAAAAAAATCCAAATGTAAAGATATAGTAGTAATAGAATGGTTTTACCACAGGAGTCAAACAGCTGTAGCCTTTACTGCAGGAGGTTACTGTTGCGTGAAACACCCGCACTATAAGGCCTTATCGCAAACGTACATGAATGTTAACGATATTTCATTATGTTGGTTAAAGGTGCACAGACATATTGAATTCTGTTTGTCTATGTCTGGTGTGATTCTTTTCTTTCATTCGTGCAACCATAACTATGTAAATAGTCGATGCAATGGCCAATAAATAAAGGACAAATTAAGTAATGACACATTTTGTGAAAAACATTGTACAAAATTCAATAAATATTTTATGATGTGAAAATTATAATAATGATCTTCTGTCTGGCACAAGCCAGTGTGCAGAGATTGCGTCACAAATATACAAATCAGTGACTGACCCCTTGTTCTTTACATGGACATGTTCTGTTGTTCTTGTGAGCTGCAGTCAGAACAATGACAATCTAATGTTATTTTATAAGAAAAAGACAATGCCTGTGGTGATAGAATTTTAATGTGGTTTTGTGTGTGTGTGTGTGTGTGTGTTACCCATGGATTTATTGGTGTGAATTAAAAGAAGCTAAAAAAAATGCTTTAAAGTAAATTGGAGCTAAAGATATGGATTTGATGCATGTAAATGAAAAATGTGTGAACAAATCTAATATTATGGGGAAATATAAAAGATGAACACTTACAATTTTCCTTGATCTTAAACTGCATGAATTATTTTTGAATTCATTTTAAACTGAATTCATTTCGACACTGTGATGCTCTGACGCAAGAATAAAATGTGTTTAAATGATCCGTATTATTATTTGCATTGGTTTTCGGTGTATGTAAATTTCAATTTGTATAAATTTGCTATCGCCTTTTACATTGGACCATTAAAGGGAGGTGAACACACCCCGCTGAAATATCCAATGTCTATGTTTGTGTGGGAAGAACACACATGTGAAGGGACCGTTCAAAAGCAATCCTTACGTAAAGTCACATATTTAAAACATAGAATTATATAATTATTCGTATTGCTTTAAATTTAAACCTTGAGGAGGATCAATAAGAAATGTGTCAAGTTGTTTTCTTTGACTGTGACTCTGAGTCGATGCATCACAGTGATTCATAAAGAATTCTAATACAAACCAATAGAAAAGCTCTCGTTATTGTGT